AGAAGAGCAAAAGGTGACTTGATTGAAACGTTTAAGATTCTGAGGGGTCTTGATAGGGTCCATACTGAAATGATGTTTGATTTTGTGGGTCACTTTTTTCAAAACGTAGGGTCACCCGTTAAAGACAGCGATAAGGAAATTTTTTTCACAAATGATTGTGAGTCTTTGAAACTCTCTTCCTCAAAAAAGTTATAAGACCATACGGTACATATTGAGAGGTCAAACAACTCCACTTTGCCCTAACTGACATTTTTGATGTCGATATTGTGGGATAGAAATAACAAGGTAAGACTTACATTTATAGTACTTTACCACGTCTCTCAAAAGTGTCACAAAATGTCATAAAACATTTATCTGACCGATTGTGGACAAAACATTTCCAGAAGGTGTTCTTCCCCTGCTAATGCCATTCTCCTCCACTCCCACCCTACCATTGTGGAGGGTGTGATAGGGTTAGAACTTACCACCCCTGTGGAGTCCTCCAGCGATCTGTACTGAGTTCCCCTCTCATCTACATTCTGCCTTTGAACAAGCATACGAGTCAGATTTCTCACACACATCATTAATAACTCCGCTTTACCACTTCACTAACATACCCAAACTCTCTGCTGCCTCTCTGTTTTCGAGCAAGTGCCATTCTGCATGCCATAGGATGTTTAATATCCAAGTATGTCACTGAAACAAGCCATTTCTGAATGTTTGATTTGAGGGACTGCACCCTTAAAAGTACAGGATACCTTCGGTTCTGTGCAGAGCATTCCCATATCACACGACCTACAAACCTCATGCATTTGACTTACTATACAACCTTTTGACTGACAGTATCATTAATGAGTCAAGCTGATATCACTAAGTTATTTATTTTGCTATACTGATTTAACAGCTTTCAGCAAACCTGTTTAATGCCTGTACACTGGGGAATCTAGAATGTGGGCATGTAATCTCAGGATAATGGGATGATCACATAGGTTTCAGATGAAGAATTTGTCTACAGCAGCAAGTTGTGCATGTTCCATAGTTGAATTAAAGGTAAAGTTGTCATAATCCGAGATAACAAGGCTTTTTTTCTCACTAGAGAGAGAGAGAGAGAGATGACTCATGGGAGTTTAACCTGAGGGTCACCAGGTTTCAGGTGAGAGGAGAGGTGGAGAATGAGAATCCTTCATAGTAATTTCAGCCAGTGCAGGAATTGAACTCATGCTGTTGGCATCAATCTGCTTCAAAAACCAGCCATCCAGTCAGCTGAGCTAACCAACCTCAATAATTGATTGTATTCACAAGGCTGAAGTAAACAGATTTATGGTTTCAGGAATAAAAGGATATGGGGAGCAGATCATAGAATTCCTGCAGTTTGGAAGCAGGCTATTTGGCCCATCAAAGAAGAGCATCCCACCTAGACCCACCCCCTCTACCCCTGCATTTCCCATGACCAATCCACCCAGCCTGCACATTCCCTGGACTGTGGGAGGAACTGGAGCACCCAGAGGAAACCTAACTGACATGAGGAGAATGTGCAAACTCCACATAGACGATTCTCCAAGGATGGGATCAAACCCGGATATCTGGCATTGTGAGGTAGCAGTGCTAACCACTGAACCACCATGCCACTCCAGATGGGAAAGTGGAATTGAATGTGATGATCAGTTAGGACTATATTGATAGAAAACTCAAAGGGCCTAATGATCGAATCCTACTTCTACTTCTTTATTATCTTTACTGGAAAAAAGTGCTCTGCTCACCAGTTTTATATTTATTAGTCTCATATTTTACATGATACCCTTCTTTGTTGACTCCAACACAGAATGTGTGTCTGGCAAAGTCTGTCAATTTTTCCTGCAAGCTGAAAGATCTAGTCAGACTTGCCTTTTCCAACTAAGAAATTTTGTAGGAGAATACCTAATTTTCCTTCCAGCAGCCCTTAATAAAGAGATCACATTCCAACAATTTTAAAAATATCCTATCATTTTATTTTTGATGTGGACCACGATTTTGGCCTGGTTCTCCTCATTAAGGCCAGCACCTGCCCTGTCAGTTCATCTGTTTCCCTTTGACACTCCAGCTCTGAATGTATATCAAACACCCGTGAACTTCAGGATGTCAAAACTTTGGCAAATCTCGTCACACCCCCTTCATCCCACCATCACTTCTTGGGAAGATATTTCCTAATCAATCTGCCCAGAGATGTCATTACACACCTCTGGAACAGGTGGGACTTGAACCTCACTGTGCCATGAGAGCCTTCACTTCTTCGGAATAGTCTTGTCTAGACCAGAAACAAGACATTAGTAAATGGTGTGTCAGGGGTCTCAGCAGAGTTTGGAGCTCTCCTGTAGCAGGTCTAGTGCAATAGTTAAGCAGTTCATCTCCAAAATCTTCATAAAAACTTTGTATCAAACACAGCAAAAACTAAGGTACATTTAATTTGAAAACAAAGTCACTTAGTTGATGCTTATTTATGCAGTAAAATCACAGTACAATTTTAACTTAAATTTGAAGTAAATGTCTGAGATTTTAAGATCTTTCCTTGTGCAATCATCAAGTCTGAATTTTGACATAGAATCACACTAGTGGCGCAGCTAAAGGAATGAAACTCAAGGAATTGTTGAATGGCAACAGAATCCTTTCAAGGAGTGATTAACTGCATAACGTAGACGTATGGAAAAATCTTTTCACCCCAAGTTGTTCATATCAGCATTAACTTGCCAAGGAAGCTTCATCTACTTATCCAAAATGTTGCTATATTCCTTTATCCTTATTTCATGCATCTGATTACTAGAGGGATACTACCAATCATTGCTTGTTTATCTTAATATGCAAAATAGATTTGATTATTATATGTTGATATATTTTGAATGTTTTTTTTAAAAGTTCACTTGCCACATCAGAAAGAAGGAAGCAATAAGTGGATATATAATCTTAAGATTAAATGCTTAGCAGGCTTAAACATGAAGACACTCTCGTTTGCTTTCCGAATGCTTTATTATGTAAGTCAATCTGACTGTTAATTTAATTCTTAATCTCTTCCTTCCAGATTTTGCAATATGTCTTTTAACTTTTTCTAAATTTTACTTCATTGGAAAATATTTGAATTGAGTTACATGCAAGTCTTCTGCATTTCTGAAACACACTTGCCAAATTTGCCAATGCTTATTGGGGTGGCATGGTCATTTTTTCAAAAATATACCTTGTGCAATATAAAAGCAGTTTTTGTCTCACTGTTGAACACTGTTTCTACCATTGTCATCTTCTGTTATATGTCATCATACATTGATCTTTGTAAAGGCAATAAACAACCGCATCCTTATCATTTCTTGAAAATGCAGAACAGATGAATATGAACTGTTGTCCAGAATATTATTTGAACAGTCTCATCCTTTTGCCAAAAAAGTTGATTTGATTACTCCAGGCAGAACCCAGTAATAGTTAAGAAGTGATTTATTAACAAAATCATGAAATATTTTACAATGTTATGTTTATGTACATATACAGATTTTTTTTAAAAATATTGATGAATTATGAGGTAATTGCCGGGCTTTGCTAGCATTTAGTTGGAAGTATCCTTTAAGGTCATATTTACCTTTATATATAATATATATGCTTGTAATAGGCAAGAATTACTTGAGGCAGCCATTGACTGCTCAAAAGCAAATGTTGTTTCAGTGAAATAAATACCTTTAGTGTCGGTCAGCTTGGGGAAAGAAACGATAGAAGTGGCCTCTAACCTAAAAATATTTTACACCTTGTAGTGGCTTTCAGTTGTGATCAGTTATTGTTAATTTTGATACCATGTAAAGATCTGAAAGAATGCCATGTGGGGGCTTCTTTAGTCCTCTGATTTCTAGGTCATTAAACCTTTTTTAAATTCAATTACTAATAGACAATTCAAAAAATGACAAATTGTAGAGCTGTCATTTTCTTTACAGAAGCTGCTGACAGTCATCAAAAATATTGTCAGTGCATTTTTGTGGATTTCTTTTTCAAAGATTGACTTCGAGTTGATTGTTAACCTTTTGAATACGCAGTGTTCTGTCATGCAAAGGGAAGAAAATAATTTTTATATCTATTGAGTGTCCTGAAATAAAAGTGTATTCCGGGGGGGTGCTTGATGATCTGCAATCTAATGTTTAGCATTAAATTTCCACATTCTTCTATACAGAAGTCGCAAAAAAATCTGTGTATTTTTAAATTAACAAAAGACGTTTGCTTCTGCAATGAAAGTTAAATGGAGCGTATCTAATGAACAGTGGGATACAATTTATATTCCACAAATGGACTGACCCCATAACTCTCAAACAAGTGAGTTTATACCTTGCAATGGGTTAAGTAAATGAGATGATAAAGATTAGAAATACGTACAAATTTTAAATGTGATCTTGGTCAGATTGGTTTCAGTAATAACAATCTGAAACTACTTTCACTCTTCAATTCAGTTGTCAACTGCATAAAAAAGGAGATGATGTCATCATTTTCTGGTATAAATAGTATGTTAAAAGATGGTGGGATTAGTATGATTCAATTTGGGAAGTAAACAATTTTAGAGATTAATTAGAAGCAATTTTATGGTACAAATTAAATTTTTAGGACAGGAATGTTCCTGACAGGGTCGATTTTACAAAGAACATGGTTCACTGCCTACCAACCAACTAATATTAAAAGCTAAATCTATTCCTTAAAGATGTAAGTGCGACTAGCTGTGTTACAAGTCCATCTTCTGTTAGCTGTCAGACCTATTGAATTAGTCTAATTAAGGTGAAACATTTAAAACTCAGGAACTTGAGGCCATTTTATACAGTACAGAAAAAACCTTTAACTGTTGTTTTCAGAAACTTGATTTTAACCAAGCTGCAAGAATCCCCAAAATGGGAGGAATTTATCAAGAAATTGCAGGTTTCTGCATTGAAAGGTTTAGATTTTAATGCAAAGCTAATTACCCTTTAATAATTATTTAAAGTTTTACTTGTTAATATTTAGCAAATTGCTAAATGTGGTTTTTTTTTCAGAGGAGGATAGCTATGAAAGTTACTCACGGATGTTGCTGAAGTATTTCTTAGCAGAAGGCGTTGTTAGCGGGCATTCTCTTTTCATAGCATCTGCCAAAGATCATCCTGAAGAAATTTTACAGGTATGGTTGTTGATGAAGATTTGTGCTTCTATTATTGCAGGATTATGTTTTGTTTCTAAATGTTGATCATTATGGTCACTTGACACCCTTAAAACATCTCAGCTGATTTGAATGCAGTTTCATTTTTTGGCACATTATCCAAATAGGTACAGGAAGGATTTAAAATATGGATAACCAATATTTTCATTCCTCATTGATGGAATATTAGATAAATAGTGATGTAGTAATTGATAAATTACTAAAGAAACTCAACAGAACAGTAAAATGACCAGGGCGCTGGAATTGACTTGTTGTGATATGTTCTTGCAATAATAGAATAATAAATAAAGGAAATAGAAATAAGAAACAAAAATAATTTATTGTGTGAGAGAAAAGCCAGATGAGCAGTTCCTTGCCATTTGTTACATTTAGGAATGATTTTTAAGATTGCAATAATATCTCTGAAACTGCCCAAGTACCCAATTAATTAACCAGTCATTTTTGGTTATTTGTTTGAAACTTCCAGTTATTTTACAGATATTGACCATAATTCTGTGATCAATATAAAATCACACAGATATGCACCCATCCTTGCAAAATATACTAGTGCTAATTCCCATGAAATCATAAGTGCTCACAGATAATATAGTTCCTAAACATGTAATTTATTTTAAAGAAATTATAATTGTACAAAATTGAATGTAATATTTAAATATACATATAATGTTTCATAGACCTGTAAGTCTTGTAATTCTACAGTTCCACCACATAAGTAATGTCTTGTTTTGGATTTTGTAATGGTAATGATGCAGAAATGGTCAGAGTTCATCACCTTGCTTTAAAACGGACAGCAGCTCCTGGACTCTGCATATGTTCACTTTAGTGTGGAGATCCAAAAGTTGCTGTCAGTGAACTGATGTTTCTCGTGAGACTGTGTGGTTTGAAATCCCCATAGTGAAAATGAACTTAACATTGTTTCCTGTAATTTCTATTTACTGTGTAAAATCTGCTTGTTGCGCTCTCCGGTTTCTTTAATTCTACTGTATGAGCACGTGTGTGCATCTTAAAGCAGCTGTCTATTTTTGCGCATAGAATGTTCTGAATTGCTGTACATCCCCACAACTTTGAATAGACATTGATACCAAGTTAATTATACTGCTGAAAGAAGTCTCCGGCCCTTAAAATATCTAATTTTATGTTTGTAGACTGTCAAATGTCTCCACTCTTGTAAAAAAAAAAGTTTCATTTTATGATATTTCAGCTTCTATAGTCATGTGTTTGCCCCAATCTTTAGTTTTGCTTTCTGTAAAATGACTAAAAAATTAAGGATAATTAATGTTTATTACAAAAATAAAATGCCAATAACGCTCAGTATGTTAGGCAGCATCTGGGAAGATGAATGGAATTAAAATTTCAGATCAATTGATGACCCTTCGTCAGAACTGTGATAAGAATAAACATAATTGATTTTGACCAAATAGAAAAACTGAGGAAGAACAAAAGAAAGTGTCGATAATCAGTGGGAAGGCAGGAAAGATTAAATGACAAAGGTTTCATGGTACAGAGTCAAAAGATGCAGTAACGAAGCAAAAGATGTCTAGCTGTGGTGTGAATGACTGCATAGCTGATGTTCAAATGCAAAGTAAGGATCTAAAAACATAAATTAAACAAAACTGAACCAGAAAATAACATGAAACAAAATGGAAGTCGAGGTTATTACCAAAAATGTTTGAATTCGCTGTTGAGTCTAAGAGGTTGTAGAGTGCCAAGTGAGAAGATCAAATGCTGTTCTTTGAACGTATTTCATTGGAACATTAGAGCAGGCCAAGGATAGAGAGGTTACAGTAATAGCATTAAAATGAGAAATGACAGGAAACTCAGAATCGTGTTTGCAGAGTGAAGTACTCCGCAAAGCAATTACCTAGTCTGTATTGGTCTCCTTAAAGTAGAGATGACATCATGAGCAGCAAACACAATTGTTACATTTACACAAGGAGTGTTGAGGCCTTAGACTGTCAGAACAAAAGAAGTAAAAGGTCATGTTTTGCATCTACTGCACTTGTGTGGAATGGTGCTGTACGAAGGGAGGAACTGTTGCACGGTGTCTGAGGAATTGAACAATTTTCACAAAGGGGGGGAAGGCAAGACAAGATGTATTTTGCTTTTTAGTTCCTGTGAGAATACTCCAATGTGATTGGTTGCTTGCCCTGCTTGATGACATCACTGTTGCTGAATGTGAGGAAACACTTTCCATACCACTTTTAACACCAGATTCAAACATATCAAGTAAGGGAAATTGTATGCCATGGAGATCACTAGATCTTTGTGAGCAACTTTCTTTGAGATTAGCACCTACTGCCATCACTTCTCGGCAAACTGTAATTGTGCCATTGTCTTAAACCCAGATCCAGCAAATCTATGTTTATTTTAAACAGAGTCACAAAAACATTTAACTTTTTTGAATCAATCACGAAGAATTATAATAGGCATTCCTTGTTATATTCCACAGTGGTTTGGAAAAATAGATTCGCATTTGTACAACCTCGGGACATCCCAAAATGATTTGTAGGAAATAAAGTACTGTCAATGTTGTTATATGGGAATTAGACTTTGTAATTACAAATTTCAATTCTGAAATATATATTTAAAATATAATGGCAATAGTTGCTAGCTATGGCATACAAAGATTTAGTTTTATTATAGGTGCTGTCTGCAGAGCCAAAAGGAATTCAGACAGGTGGACATAAACCAGCAGAGTATGAAACTTCACTAAATTACATTTCAATAAACGCAGACGTATTTATGGAAGTTACCACTTAAGAAATTAGCACTTACTTTGATTCTCACCCAATTTATTTAATTGCTACTTCTACCACAAAATTGTGGTCCAAATCGACTGGTAATTCTTCCAAACATTCATTATTCAAAAGCTAAATGCAGATGACTGTGAGGATGAAAGTGCTTTTCTCAGTAGTGCTACTTATGAAGTATGGATTACCCTAACTGATAAGCCAATGATCGAAGTTTAGCTGCTACATAATCTAAGTCTTTTCTCCTTTATTGTAAATAGAATAGAGTGCTATGTGATGTCTTTACTTGGCTTAATGCACATGCAATTAAGCTAGCTTAGAAGGGTGTGAGGTTAAGCCTCATTAACTGTGGGATGGGGGTACCTTGGGTTTTATTATACTCTGGAGAATTCAGTTTGTAAGAAGGGTCAGATTGTAACAATGGCTGTGATTTCTTTCTGTCAAAACAAAATGATGTAAGCAGGTTACTGGATGAATTTAAATTCAAGTGAGGTAATTGCAAAACTGGGTCTGCTGCTATATTAGACTGTTGGTCTAAGACCATCAACTAGATTGTATAAATCTCAATACATGTGATATTGTAGTCTGTGCGTCATCCTTCATCAGACATAGGTCTTAGAATGACCAGGAGTTTCAACCAGCTGCCTGAGCATTTTCCAAGTCTGACATCACATGGTGCCATACCCAAATTAAGTGACACAACGCCCCTGTGGGATAGGAAAGAAGTCGTCTATTGATTGGTTTTGGTACATTCCAAAGTTAAACTGGGTACTGATCCTGGTGTTATGCAATCACTTTCACGTCATTTTATTACTAAAACTCCTTTGTGCTGCTGTGAAACTGCTCCCTAAGGCATCTATTTAAATACATTGTTTATACATATTTTTCTCTGAGGTTAACTGAGTTTTATTGACTTTGAATTTTGTCATTGAGTTCCTGCTGTAAAAAGAATTTTGTTATTTATGCTCCATGAAGCACAGAGTCAGTTACATACCTTATCATGTCTAAATGTCTCAAAGATTTTTTATGTAATTATTTTTGAAGTGCAATGGCTAACAAATAAATAGTGGTATAATAAATTATACTCTGCAAAAACATCTTCCATTCTTGTTTTCGTACTGTTTGAATTGCCTATATATATTTGGATTTATTTTGCATTGGTTATGTCACGGAGATGTTCAAGGAACTAGCCAGTTAGATTAAGTTTTATTAGTGCAAATATATTATCACAGATGAATTAACAAGTTTAAAGTTCCATCGATTCAACTGTGAAAATGGAGAACAAGGGTTGCACAAAGGCACATTGTCAAAGGGATTGTTGGATTCATTTCTATTGCTACATTAAAGGTGACTGGTGTGAAATAGTTTATCGACTCTTGAGATTCTTCCTGCAAATGGTGCACAGTGCTGGTGTAGTACAGGGAGCCAGCAACAGGTGTCACTCATTATGTCAGTAGAAAAAGCTGAAACAATGATCAGCCCTGGGAGTTAGGTGAGTGCTTAAGTAGCTATTATCCTAATGATCTTTGCCTGAAAAGTGATCTGCAAGGATCACTGATTGGCATTTGGATAATCAAGCTTAACGAAGATAACACTACCTGAAAAACATTGCAGGTGTTAATTTGCGTTATTTTGAAGACAATAGCTTGTTATTTCTTATTGACCATAGGTTGAAAGAACTTGTTCAGACTGTTTCAAAAAGCACAATGCAAAGGTTTAAGCCAATATGGAGACTTTTTGGATCTTTTTCTGTCAAATTCCAGAATAAAAATGCTGCACTAGTTTCACAGATTACAGTTTTAAACTGTTGGGGGGCTGGTTGCTGGAAAGAGAAACACAGTTGTTTCATGTACATTTTTCATGTATAAATGCATGATGGCCTAGTGATCCACATTAGATCTATAAATCATTTAACTCAGAGCTTCATAACAGAAGGAACTTGAAATTGGAAGCAAACTGCCAGTAATTGATTTGGTCATGAATTATTTCTACACTTGCCAAGTTTTGGTAAAGTTTACTTCTTTTTCCAACTGCAGCTGTCTCTGTCTTTTCAGTTTATGTCACTTATATTTAACGCTGACATACATTAAATGTGTATTTTTGTGTCAAAACTTATGGATTTCAAAGATAAACTATTCTCATTTGGTTTGAATAGGAGCTTCCTGCACCCTTGCTTGATGATGTAATAGAGACCAATGAAACTATCAGAGAGACAGAAGACAATTCGGGGAATAGCAATAATTCTACCACTGCAGCCCAGAATTCCATGACGATAGCATGGCGGTACCAAAACTTACCAAAAGTACAGGTATAATTTTGCATTTTTGAAAGCATAACCATATGAAATTAATCAGTAGAAAACTTTTGTAATATTTGCAGGTTGTGCCTTTATCATGAAAACATAAGCCTAAAAATCTGGAAATTGCACATTTTCCTCTAATACCTTCTAATCTATTTTAATTTATCCTAATTTTTTAATAAATATTTTTTCTAATTTATTTATACTTCTGATTTTTTTTAACATTTGCATTTTTGAGCCTTGTACTATTTAAAATTATGAGGTACTATAAGGGTTACAAATATTTAATCTATTTAGTCAATAACCTTTTAAGGAAATGTGCTCGAATGAATTTGTTCTGTAACTGATTCTTCAGTCAAAATAACTTTAAAGAATAATAGTGTTATTCTATGATAAAATCATTTTTACATATTGTAGTTATAGTTTGAAGAGGTTTGATTGTATCTTCTATTGGGACTGGTGTCAACTATTTAAAACTGTCAAATCTAGTCAAATCATTGCAGCTGGAATATGTTTCTTCATAAAGATGTTGATTTGAGGAGATGGTGAGGAATAATGAAAATTGTCAATTCCACATGATTTGTAGAAAATGCACTTTTTGTCTTGGTGTCAATTTAACCCCTCCAAAGTACATTGACTGCTGCTGGGGTAGAGTTCCATAAATACCACCAACCTACTGTCCTTTCTGGGGTGTTAAACAATTGACTAATCTTAACATATGAACATCCATAGTGAATGTTGGTGGGGTACTGATCCATTATAAGCCCAGTCTTATTCTTGACATGAGAAGCCAGTGCTTAGCAGTCGGGAGGTTAAAAGGGAGAAAGCCTCTAGAAAATATTCCCCTAACAAATTAAAGTTTTTCTTTCCCTTTCCCCAACTTGATGAGATGTATCAAAGAGAAACTTACTTTAAACTGCATTCTCTCCAAAACCAAGAAGGGTCCCGACCCAAAACATCAGCTTTCCTGCTCCTCTGATGCTGCCTGGCCTGCTGTGTTTCTCCACCTCCACACTGTGTTGTTGCCAAATCTGTATCTTCTGCAAGATTTCGTGCAGCAACTCACTAAAGCTTCTTCAATATTATTGAACTTAGAATCACTACTACCTAGAAGGACAAGGGCAGTAAACTCCCTTTCAAACAGCACTGAGGAGTACTGAAACCATGTGGATTGCAATGCTTCAAAAACATGACTCACTACCAGTTTCTCGATCAATTGAGTATGGACAGTAAAAACTTCGATGCCGGAAACACCAACATCCCACAAACAAATATATAAAATGATCAGCTAATTTGACATTGGCTGGGTATTTGAACCTTGAATCTTCTGACCTATATTTAATATTTAGGTTATTGAGTCATAGGGGCTGAGGTGCAGAGAGTTCTCCTTATTTGACATTGTTCTTGTCATAGATGGCAACTATAGAAAGATTTTTCCTTGAGCATCAAGTTCTCATTCATTTTAATAAGTTGTTTAAAGAAGAATGGACTGCGGTGCAATTGGCCAGACCTGCACTAATGAAAAGTCTTTGATAGCACCTGCCAGCTGCATTGGTAAAGGAATCATGGAATTATTTTAAAGCTACTAATTCTTACAAGATGAATATTCAAGTTCAGTTGGGAGCAGTTTGAAAAGAAGTCCATATTCTACAATTTTAGAATCTCTTGAAGAATGGTTGAGAGAGAGACAAATAAATGTATGCCAGGTCCTTTCTTTCTAACTTTTGTGTGGCACTACAATCAATGGAACCAACTCCATTTACTGCTGGGGAAAAATGAGTCAATGTTAGAGGTTAATGTATTCCACATATTTGAATCCATCATTTAATTTCACTTTACAATGCATTGTTGTGTTAATAAGGCTAAATAAACTAGATTATACGATTGGTAAGCAAGCTTTGAAGATCATAGATCAAATACCAGAAGTCATTATGCATCCAATTTCTAGAAGCTGGTTTTTAAAAAAAACAGATCTTGTACAAATGTGAAAAATTCAGGATAAAAAGACTTTTTTTATTATAGTATTTATGAGGCAAACTTGTAATTTGTCCCCGAGGTCACATCACATCTCTGCTCTGCTTTGGCTGTAGTCCATTTCACAGTGTGAAGTTACTGGTACATATTTAGCAGAGGAGTGCTGCTTCGACAAGCTCTATTCAAATGTAAATAGCTTTTGGTTTCTTGATGTATTACCATAAAAAAAATCCTTCCCAACCAAATAATCCAGTTTATTCAGACCTATTAATACAGCGGTATGCTACAGAGTAAAGTAAAATGCTTCATTCAAGTTCATAAGTGATTAAATAGGTTTTTTTTTAAAAGATGTATTAACTAACCACTGATACACTGTCCACTTGATCACTCAAAGGATGCTGGGTAGTCACAAGATTTCCGGCAATTTCAAAGTGGATAAATGGATGAATGAAGCTCATTTTGAAACATTGAATAGTTAATGGAGAAATGTTTTCGACTGAATTAGCACATGATCCTTAATGTTTTAAGAAGAAATGCTTGTATGTTTCTAAGCACCTCAGTAGTGTCTCATAATGGTGCTTTATACTGGGAACAAGACATATGTGCAGAATTCCTCCTAAGGTGACAATAAAGGGAGGAGTTCATCTTTCCATTCACTATCTCTGTTCACATCATTAGAATTGAACCTCATGATCAGTGCACCCTGCAGCCTGACAGCAATATGATGAATTCCAACACACAAGATGACACAAGTTACTGTGAGTGCTCTGCCATGCCAAAAAAAATTAAAGGGGCTGAGTACTTAAATAAATTACCCAGCCACTCTTTGAAACAAAACGCACACTTATAGAGCACCTTGTTCATGATGTTACCAGAAAAAGAAAATAAATTTTAAGAAGGCAAATTTTAAGAATGTTTCCAATTTTTTTTTAAACTTTGAAGCAAGATCTTACAGAACGCAAAGCACGGTAGAATGTGTAAAAAGAGGAACCTGAAGATATGCATATTGCACTTACCTTCAGTGAATTTATAATGATCATTGCCCAACCCACCACTAATTTAAGTCACTTGAGTGTTTCAATCAAAATCCAATGTTTTTGCAGCTGCCGTGTGTAATTGCCTCCACTGTTTTTGTATGCTTCAGAGGTGCACATAAATACACTTCTGTGTCTTGGCGCAGGTGGATTTCTCAGTTTGTTTCTCAGAAGCTTAAGCATTTATCTTGTATTTTTAATGATACCACATGGAACTTCTGCCTCAAATGATAGGTTCAAATGTGGGAAATATATTTGTGTTTTTGCATTAATTTCAACAAAAATCTCAATACTGCCAGAAGACAAAAATAATTCAGTACTGGATCAAATATGGTTGAACAAGATTTGATAGAGTATGATCTGTCAATTCGAAAGCACTGAATCAAGCAATTGACTTGCTTATCCATGTGCTAAATGAGTAAAGATAGCACTTGAGAATGTATCAGCTTCATTGTCATAGCAATCTAATCGTTGTGGAGATAACATACAAATGACATAAAATGACCGCAGGCTGAAAAGCCCCCTTAAGGCCTACCAGCTAGATCTTCCATGCTTGTAAGCCCCAGTTATTTCAACAGATTGTTGCATAAATCAGGAGCAATGTCACAGTTTAAAATTCAAATAAGCTCTTGAGACTGAATGATTCATTGTCATTTATTGTAATAGTTCTGTACATTATCCTGCAGATAACTAACTGTACAATGCAGACAGAAGCATGTCCACTAGTAGTGTCCACTGCAGGGGCTATTAAAAACCAAAAAAAATCCCATTTTCCAAGATTACTAAAGTAACTGCAATTCATCTGTAAACAAAATTGTAGGATGCAAAAGCTTCTCAATGACATGTTTGTGTACTTTGGGCAATATATAAGCTGTCACAGCATGAAATCAATTTTCTGCCTAGGTTCATCTTGAATCTGAGATTTCTAACACATTAGTGTCGCAATTAGAAACATTTAGCAGCAGACAGTAGACTGAAAGCCAGCAGTCTGCTATCTGACAGTTTCTGCCTGTTCCTCTCTTCCAGCCTATCCATGCTTAAGCAATGAAGAGAAAAGCACAAGTTGCTGTTGCCTCCAATAATAAATTTATCTACTTTGCAACTTCTGAGGAAAGAAAAGCTTTCGCCGAGCTATTCAACTAAGCCAGATTACTCACACTTAGTTGGTTCAGGTAGGCCTTAGCAAGCTTCCCACTGAGCCTGGGAATTTGTAAAACGAGGCCTATTCACAATTCTCTAACACAGACCATGCTTTTATTACTTACTATTTTATTATAGTAAGATCTGTCTCCACCCAGCTTGTAGAAGCAATACTCTTTCTTGTGAACTTAAAAAAAGGTTATCCCCCACCTTAATCCATACAGCGTTGTGGATTAAAGACACCAGTGTGCCCTGGGATCCTCTGAGTAGACCCTGGAAATTTCTTGTTTCTTCTCTTTGCTTTCTTAGAAAACACTACCGGGGCCTCAGTGAGGATTTGCATCTGAAATAGACTACCTGGTGCTTTCCTGAATGAAGACATCAGATCAAAGTTCAGTTAGTCAGGGCCTTGCTAAAATGTTAAGGAGACTAGGATGTACACAATGAAAAGATGAGCTCTAGCAGAGAATGCAATAAAAACATTGTGATGGGTAATCCAGATAAAGACTAGATTATACAGACCAAAGGACAGCCCTGTATAAATTGTTTTCAGTGTTTGTCCAACAATAAATTCACTGTCATAGGATGTGTTTACAACAGCATTTCTTGCTGAAGAGCATGCGTCTGTTTCTATATTTATATTGCAAGAATTTTTAAGCAAATGTGAATTCAGTGGATACTATTGTTAATGTTATCATAATGAAATTGTAGAAATGTTGTTAAAATAGTAACTAGCCAGTTTCTCTCAGATATTGCTTTGCTATTTTAATTAGCACTCAAATGCATATAAAGGTGTACAGAATGTTATTTATAACATAAAAGTGCTATTCTTATTAAAATCCTATAATTTATGCATCACCTCATTAACCTTAGTTTTTGCAAATTTATGCTCATTACTCATTGAAAAATCTTCACTTCATCCCTGATACCTTGCAGTTGGCTCAATCTTCGTAATCCTTCCATCACATGATCAACCAGGAATCTTTCCTGATCTTGCCACTTACCATTGGTATGAGATGAAAGGATTTGCAGTTGATTTTCAAGCTGTTTGGCCATGTTATGAACACCCCTTGTTTGGCCATCAAGTCTTGTTTGACTCAAACCGATAACTTCTGGTTCCAAGACCAGGATGTTACCCATTGTAGCATAAAACCCTCCCCATACTTGTGTAAATCTGAACAATAACTGCCAGTTTTAAGCCACCAGGTGCATCCCAGTTCAGCCCAATGTGTCACACATATTCTCTTTATAATTGGATGATCTAGATAATTGGAAAGAGTTCTGTTTATATAGTGCCATCCACAATATCAGCATATCCAAACAGTTTATTTTTATCAAGTAAGTAGTTTGAGTTGTAATGTAGGAAACATGGCAGCCATTTTGTACACCCAGATACAGCAGCCCTGTTAATTTGTTTTATTAATATTAAGGGTGCTCAGTGATAAGTATTGGCCATTGTAGCAGGGAGACCTTCCTCCTATTCCTTCAGAATGAACATTATATGATCTTTCTAGCTGGAAAGTGTGGATCTGTAATAGAATTTTGGAGGAATTTTGAATTTCAAATTCAGTTTGAGTGTGATCAACTCAACTCTCAAACCAGTAAATAAGGGTAATTATGCATTGGTCTTCACGGTGAAGGACACACTTAGAATTCTGAAGATAACTGATAAGCAAAGTGCAAATAAGAGGAAAGATCTTGTAACAGACTATCACAAGGGACAAAGTATTTGACAAACTGATGGGACTAAAGGCATACAAGTCACCAAGACATGATGGCCTGAATCCAAGGATTTTAAAGAAAGCAGCTGCAGCGATAGTGGAGGTATTGATTCAAAATATTTCAGAACTCATTGGATTCCCGGAGGTTTCTAGCAGATTGGAGAACCACTCGTGCTATCTCTATTTAAGAAGAGAAACAGAAAGCTGGAAACTATAGACTAACTATAGACTAACTATAGATTAACACCTATCATTGGAAAAATGCTAAAGTCCATGATTAAAGAAAAATTACGAGGCATTTAAAAAAAAAAGCTTAACACAATAAAACAAAGTCAACATGGTTTTATGAAAGAGGAATAATGCTTGATAAATTTGCTAGAGTTCTTTGAGGATATACCAAACAAAATTGATAAGGGGAAGCCAGTAGAATAGTGTAGTAATTTATTGTCACTTTTTTTTATACAAGAAATACAGTCAAAAGTGTTTTAAGTCGCCATACCACGATGCTTATATTCACCATAAGGTACCACACAAAAGATGTAAGATAGGATCTCACAGTATTAGAGGTAATGTGTTAGCATGAATTGAAGATTGGTTAATTTCCAGAAGACTGAGTTAGGAGTAATGGGACTTTGTCAATTGGATACGTGCAACTAACGTAGTGTCACAAAGATCAGTCCTAGGGCCTCAATTGTTTGCTGTCTGTTATTCACTTGGCAGGATGGCCAGAGTGTAATGTATCCAAATTTGCTAACGGTATGAAATTAGGTGGGAAGACATATTGTGATTAGGACATAAGGAAGATGCAAACAGATATAGATAGATTGAGTGAGTGGGTGAAAACCTGGCAGATGGAATTTAATATAGCAAAGTGTGAGGTCATATGTTTTAATAGATTCAAAAAGAAGGCAACCATTTAAATGGAGAAAGACTCCAAAAAATGTGCAACACAGAGGGATTTGGGTGTTATTATACATGAAACACAAAATCTGGCATGCAGATGTAGCAATTAATTAAGAAGTTAAATGGAATTTTGCTTTTCTTTGCTAAGGGTTTGGAGTTTAAAAAATAAGGAAGTATTGTTACAACTGTATAGAGTTATGGTGAGCTGCACCTGGAGGATTGTTGAAAAAAAATTGGTACCTTATTTAACAAAGGATAAGCTAGCATTCAAGGCAATTCAAAAGAGATTTACTGGGTTGATTGCTGGGACGAAGGGGTTGGTTTATCAAAAACAATTAAATAGTTTAGGCTTTTATTCATTTTTAGAGTTTAGAAGAATAAGAGATGATTATATTTATATATACAAGATACTGAGAGAAATTTACAGGATAGGTATTGAGAAGGTTCCATCACTAATGAGGGAATCTAGTCGACATAGTTACAGAATAAACACTCATTTAAAACTGAGATGTGAACAAATTTCTATTTCCCACAGGATAGTGAATATGTGGAATTCTCTACCTCAGAGAGTTGAGTAGGCTATATCATTTAAAGTAGTTGAAGATATTTTAGGGAGTTGAGGGCTAACATGAGCTGGCAGGAAAGAGGAGTTGAGGCCTGGGGCAAATCAATCATGATCTTATTGAATGGCAGGGCATGATTAGTGGGCTGAATGGCCTACTCCTGCTCCTATTTCTCATGTTCTTACATTCTTTTACATTCACCTGAGGGAATGACCAGGGCCTCGATTTTAACATTTTTAGCAGGAAGCTAACAGTGCAGCAGTCCTTTAATACTGTACTGCAGTAATAGCCAAGACTTTGCACTCATATCCATGGAACCAGACTTGAACCCACAAACTTCTGACTCAGAGGTAAGAGTGCTCATATTAGAATAGAAACACTGGTTGGCATTCCTATCAACCACTGCAGAAACATAAGACTGTCAGTATAGATGACAATCTGCTAAAATCAACTCACCTTAATCTCAGTGCTTCCATACCTTTAGCTAAGAAATCACTAAGTGGGACTCCAGCAAAAATATTATTTTCTCACAAAAGGAAGTTTAAATTAAGATTTGTACCTTATTGTGGTGACTATTTTGTTTCTGTCTGAAAGGGAGCTATAAAACAGCAGTAAGTCCCTGATTTTGACATTTGCACCACTGCGTCTCAGTGTGTTTATATTAAAGATTTTAGCATTTAAAAATTTGCTTCTTGATAATATTCTATTGACATTTCCTGAAACTTATTTCAGTGCCAGTACACATTAGGTGATTTTAATTTGATCTTTAAAGTTGTGTACTTCTTTTGACAGACAGCCTTGACATCCTCCTCAAGATTTGGCCACTATTATAATGTATCTAAAACAATGAGTACCGAGCTCCAACAATCAGTCAAGTGCCATGGATTTTTCCTACCTGATGAAGTTCCATTGGATCTAACAGTGATGGAATGTGGGTAAGTTCCTGGCTGAGCTTCAAAGGACCCTAAAATATATGTTTTTTTTTTAAATTTATTCATTGGATGAGGGTGTCTCTGACCAGTCAGCAATTATTGCCCAGAGGGCAGTTAAGAGTCAACCATATTGCTGTGGGTCTGCAGTCACACGTAGGCCAGACCAGGTAAGGATGACAGTTTTGTTCCCTAAAGGACATTAGTGAACCAGATGGGTTTTGCCCCCCAACTTTCGACAATGGATTCACTGTCATCATTAGACTCTTAATTCCAGATACTGAGAGGAATTTGTCTCTGGATTTATAGTCCAGCGATAATACCACTAGGCCATTTCCTCCCTTTTATTGCATCAATGACACAACTGCAAATTTCTGTTCAGTAAACCCACCAAATGAAGTTGCTGCACCATTTAATATTTTAAAATGGTTTTGTACAAGTATTCCCTACTGATTCAAAAAATATTTTGTGTTCATTCTACAAAATTCTATCCTTGTATAAAGCAACTCAGAATATTGGTTACATGTTTTATGTTTATTTGTATATCTAAGTATAGCCTTACTACAGTTTATACCATTACATGGAGCTTATTTGAAATGTTTATCCTATGAAAAGTGCTGAAATATAAATATTATATGATTTAACTATATATTTGATTTATTTTTGAAGTGAATGAATGGCTTTATTTCATGGTTTTACTCTGTAAGGGATGATCTGCAGCTGTTTCTCTTGTCATCATTGGGTAGTTAATATTCTGTTTAACTCATGCTTGACTGGGCAGACATGCATGCACAGTAACACGATTAAGCCTACCACCAAGTTGCTTCATAAAAAAATAACAAGGAGGAAGTTTTAATTACAAACATTCATAAAGCCAGGAAAAAGATGGCATGAAAAAGTCTACTTTCAAATATATATTGTAGTGTGACTTGAGAAATAACTCTGCTGTGGTGAAGTTGCAATGTCAATTCTTGCACTATAAGAACTTTTCATTTATTTCCTGTATGCTGAATTCACATCTGCTGCTTAACACTGGCAATGTGGAATCTTTCCCCAATTGGTTTTGCAAGATCAGCAAACTCCCATTTCATTAGATCTTAAAGTAGCTGGAAGGGATTAGCAAAGAGGAGCAGACATTATTAGCAACAGATAACAAGTAAGTTGCTCCTGAAGTTTTCCTCCATTGCACTTTATGTTGTACAACCTGATCAACGTGCCTCACATCTCTCATTCAGTATTTTAATTTACTTTTTGTATTTCATCTAATTACTCAACAGCAATATCCCTCTTCATTTACCAATTTCATTTTGGGGAAACGGTCATGGTAGATAATACCTAGCTTGGAGAAAGACTGCTGAAAGCTTCTCAAGACAGAAATTTCTCTGAAAGACATTTTAAAATTATTTTTGAAGATTGGCACTATTTTGCTATAGATTCTAGTTTGAAACCTGAGGGAGAATCTGTATTCAATAGCTTCTGGCCTAGCAACTAATATCCACATCCCACGAACAAATTCTTTTTTAAATTCGCAAGCTATACTGCCTGTTATACCTCATTGTAAATAGCGTTGAACAAGTGACAAAGGAGGCACGACACCAACAACCTGCATTTTTATAGCACCTTAGATATAGTAAAGTGTCCCAAGGTACTTAATTGCACTGCACATAAGTTTGCGTTGCCATTTGTATAGTCTTTAAGTATGACTGAAAAAGGTACCTTATGTATGGAGCTTTTCATCTTGCACTCTTCAAGGCAATTCACAAATGTACTGATTTAAGAGGAGAACCAACATTTGTGCTGTATGAAAGGTGAGTGCTGATTGGTTGGTAACTGGAATTTGAGTGGTAGAGGTTTTGTCACGCCAGTTGCACCAGTTAATGATGATCGACCATGATCTGCAAGGCTTTGTTTAAATTTTAAGCAATGCAAGTTGACTGTAATTGGTTAAGGCATTGCCCTGAGAAATGTACCAGCAAATGGGAGTCACCTATTTTGTTGAGTTGAAACAGACAGTACATATACATGCTCCCCTGTGTATTAAAATATGTACCTTCTAATACACCAATAAGGGACTGGGGGAATCAAGATTTATGGTTTAAAAGGAAGAAAGTGAAGTTGAGGATTGTTAGATCAACCATGATCTCATTGAATGAAGTAGCCGACCTGATGGGATGAATGGCCAACTTCTGTTCTTATATCTTATGGTCTAACATTCAAATGTGCTTCACTGCAAGCTCAACTGACAATCGTATTTTGATTATCTGCATAATTCTTTGCGCACTCAGGATTATCCCACAAATGTTGTCAAATAGCATAATCATATCTAATTTTGGACAGTGTTATGAGTTTTGCAAGCATTGACTGATCAGGTACATTTAGTATCTTGATTGTTTTGAACAATCAAAGGAATTTGTTGTAATGTTTGAAGCAATCTGTCAATCTATAGAACATATGGCCTACAAACCTGGCATAACACCAGCACTGAAATTCATATAACACGTTGATCATTTGTGTGATAGGCGGACCATTTTTGTTTGATGACAGCATCTTGTGAGTGAAAGTTACCACTCATAAAGGAGCATCACCACACACTGAGTGTGTGAAAAGGTCTTAATGGTAACTATGTAACTAGAGTTACCTGAATAGCAGTTAACTTTCTACTATGGACCAATAGAGGATGGGAGACTGCCAAGAGAACACAGAATTATGAGTGGTGATGAGGAGCACATGAATGTGGTTTTCAAAAGCAGGTTGTTAGAGGGGCTGGCCCGAGTGTGATTCAAACGTTTAGCTCATAATTTTACAAAAGTCAAAGCAAGCCATCACTTTGCAGAGGAAGCTATGGAAGCATAAGCATAGCTTGAGTTAAGTAATGTGCCAGGGTTGTGAGGAAAATAGAATTGATGATGTTAATGGCAGTCATCAAAAATGTGCTTCTGCAACTAGAGCTGTGGGAGAATCGTTGGTGGTGACTAACTGCAAAAAAAACACAAAGATTCTCAAATTATTTTCCAATGCAACCCCATTTTAGTACTTGAAAATTAATGTGACTCCAGGGGTCAACAAATAAAAACAGAAATAAAAAAGTTAGCATTTGGTATATAATCATCAAAGTCCAATTTAAAAGAAACATAAAATATGTGATATAAATCTGTAACAGGAAAGAATGTGGTAAGGATGCAATCGACCACCTCCTGCCAGTGAATCACAGAATTGTTACAACACAGAAGGATGGCATTTGGCGCATTGTTCTGTTACCTGGTTCCATTCTCCTGCCTTTTCCCCATATCCCTGCACACCATTTTCATTCAAATAATCATCCAATGCCCTCTTGAATGCCTCAATTGAACCTGCCTCCACCACATTTCTAGGCAGTGTGTTCCTAACTATCCTAACTTCTCGCTGTCTGAAAAAGACTTTTTTAATATCACACTTGCTTTATTTGCACATCACTTTAAATCTATGGCTTCTTGTTCATTTTTCTTTTACAAGCAGGAAGAGCTTCTCCCTATCTACTCTATCCAGCCCATTCATGATTTTGAAAACACCCATTAAATCTCCCCCGAGCATTTTTCCCTTCGGGGAGAAAAATGCCAACTTCATCAATCTATCATCACCCCTGAAGTTTCTCATTCCTAGAACCATTCTTGCAAATTGTTTCTGCACTCTCCAATACATTTGTATCTTTCCTATAATGTGATACCTACAAACTGTACACAGTACTCCAGCTGATGTCTAACAGGTGTTCAATATCACTTCCCTGCACTTGTACTTTATGCCCCTATTATTGATTGATTTTTGATTTATTGATTGATTGATTTATTGTCAGGTGTACCGAAATACAGTGAAAATCTTAGTTTACAAGCGGTACAGGCAGATCATAGTAAACAAAGGATGTACAGATCAAAAAGACTTAGACAGAGGCATACAAGTTATATTGCACAGGGCGTGTGCTAGGTGAGATCAGTGTTAGCAAGATCAGCCTTATTTGAGGCTACAGAGCCCATTCATCCATCTGATAATAGCCAGGAAGAAGCTGTTCCTGAACCTGCTTGTCTGTGTGTTCAGGTTTCTGTACCTTCTGCCTGACGGAATAGGTTGTAGGAGATCATTACCGGAGTGTGATGGGTCTTTGATGATGTTGGCAGCCTTTCCATGGCAGCAAGCAAGTAAATGGAGTCCGTGGATGGAAGGTTGGCTTCCGTGATGGTCTGGGCTGTGCATACCACCAATAAGTTGAGAGTAGTATATGTTTTAGTGACTATTGTCTCCACCTGTCTTGCCACCTTCAATATACACCAAACCCCTCTGCTCTTTAACTCCCTTTTGAATTGTACCCCTAATTTATAGTGCCTTTCAATGTTTTTCCAGCCAAAGTGCATCACCGCACACTTCACTGCGTTGAATCTCAGCTGCCACCTATCCACTCACACCACCAATTTGTCAATATCCTTTTGAAGTTTCACACTGGCCTCCTCCATAGTTTACAATTCTTCCAAATTTACATCTTTTGAAATTGTCCTCTGCACACAATGATCTACATCATTAATATATATCAGGAAAAGCAAGAATCCCAACATTGACCCAAGGGGAATTCCATGAAACCTTCCTCCAGCCTGAAAAATATCTATTAATCATTACTCTGTTATCTATCACTCAGCCAATTTTGTATCCATGTTGCTACTGTCTCTTTCAAACCATGATCTATAACTTTCTCAAAGATGTTGCAGTGTGTCAAATGCCTTCTGGAATTCGATGTATACCACATCAACACTGTTAGCCTCATTGACCCTTTCCTGCTCCCTCTTCAAAAAAACTTCAAGTCAGTTAAACAAGATTTCTGTAGTGATTGTGATGAGGTTAGCCAGGTGGACCTCATAGAATATGAATTCCCTGATTGGGATTGTTAATCTTGTCCATTCAGGAAGTGCTGGCTGACGGACAAGAACAGGAGTGTCAGACATCATCTTTACTCTGAGATCTGGCTCTGAGGGTGATGGATCGGT